TTGCAGATTTTAATCTGGTTCATGTTTTGTCCACAAGTCCTCACCGTCATTTGTTGCCATTCCAGTGGGATTAAGTACTTTTTTCTGACTTTCCAGAAAACTGCTGGGTTTTTTTTTTCTTTACCAGAAGGTAAATATGAGGCAATAAATTTAAGGTTCTGAAAAGTGTTTATGTGTAGAGGAGGAAAAGGAGGCAGGTTAGGGGTGTTTTTAAAGGTGAGTTTAGTGAGGTGAAGCTTGATCAGCCTTGACAGCCCTGGAAATGGATGTCTCCTATCTTACATCAGGAGTACACAAAACAAGAGTGTAAGTTTCATAATCTTCCTTGGGTTTTTTTGAGGGACCATCTATAGAGCTATGCTGTTTGTCCAGTTTCCATGCCTTTTTGGTCTTTGCCTGTCTGAGGCTGCCAACAAACATGTTAATTGCTGTGGTTTTGGTAATATGGACACCTGTCATGGACAAAATGAACTGAGATCAGTAATTAATTTCAAGTGTCTTGAAGATGCAAATTCCTCCTTTTCCTCCTTCTTTTTTCTTTCATTAACTGTGCAACTTTATTTACTTCAGTAGGGTTTCCTGGACATAACCAAGATGGGTTCTTGTTGGTAGATGAAATGAAATTGTAGGTTCTGGCATTTGCCTTGAGACTAAAATACCCTTAGGCCAGATACAGTTTTAATTTCAGCTTTTAAAAGTACCCTCAAAAGATCATCAAGGAATAACCGAAATCTAAGAAGTTTTTGCTTCCTTAACACTTATCTGCTTGTCTCCTTTCTATACAATTTTTTACCTAACTGATGCAGTGATTCTAATATGCAGATCTGTAAAAATGATTCTTCCACTGCCATAAAGTGTCCTGCTTCCTTTGATGGAAATAAGAGATCTCTGATAAGTGACTTGAACACAAATGCTACTGAGTGATGATACCAGGAACCTGCTAAAAAACATAGACAATTTAATGTGAGAGAGCATTTTGCAAGATTCCAGAAATGTAAGAATTGTTTTCCTCTGCAGATTGTTCTTGGGTTTTGCTCTGACTATTATGCTTGAATAAATGTTCGCATTCAGATTTCAGACAGAACACAAATTTAGAAGAATTATTTCTGGATGCTCAAGATAATACATTAATTAAAAAATCAAACTTGGAGAGTTAATTTGTTGCGTATTTTCTTGTGTTTCGGCCTGGAAACTGTGCTGTAAACTTTCTTAACTTTATACTAATACTTGGTTTAGTCCGGCTGAAAGTGCCATGAAAACAGAGGAAGACTGTGCACATTTTCTTGGTTCTCATTCCAGGCAAAACAAGGAGGCTGAAGTGAATACAGAAACGTGAACCTAACTTTGTTAAAAATCCAAATTGACATGAAGTTTTGCATATTAGTTTAGAGTTTTTCTTATCTGGTTTTCAGCTTTGAAATATTTTGGTCTCTTTTCAGCCATCCAGAGTGTCGGTTTTAAAGACACGTTGGTATTGTCCCTCAGTGAAAATTGTGATTTAAGTGTGTGCACTCTTTGGGTGCTTTAGAATTCCCCAGGTGCAGATTACACTCTTGTTTAAGTTAAAATACAAATATTTTCCGAAGCTATAAATTATGTAGTAGGTGTTTGGTGGCTCTGAGTTACTGGATGCAGTTTGGGTTGGAACAAAGCCTAGAAGCTGTATTTTGGCTGTGCTAGCATATTGAAATGGTGGAGGAAAATAAGGAAGGAAGGAACAAAGATCTCAACAAATCTGTCCAGGTGGTGATCTTTACTAATCTGCTTTCTTTAGAAGTATTTCAAAGTATCTTACCCTTGGTTGTGCACGAGTGCTTTGCAATGTAGTGCTGTAGAGGGAAAGAACACTAAAATATAGGTAATTCATTTATCTTACATGGTGTATGTACAGCTCACCTCAGTCAGCGAGGTGTGCTGCTCTGGTACCACCCAGATCCACAGCAGAGCACTCCAGGTTAAGGATAGGGTGGGATTCCATCCTAGGGAAAGCTCAGGTTCTCAGGAACAAAGACACCTACCAGGAGCCCACAGCTTGCACCCAGTCCCAGAACTATGAAATGATTGGCACAAGTAAAACCTTGTGGGATGAGTCCAGTGACTGGGGGGGGAATGAGGGACAGTTTTTAAGATCTTCAGGGTGTAGGCAGGGCAGGCGAGGTGGGGTGGGGGCACTGTGTGTAAGGAAAGAGTTGGATTGTATGGTGCTTACAGCTGGTGATGATGTGGTTGAGAGCCTCTGGGTAGGGATGAAGGGGAAAGTAAATAAATCAGATGTCATTGTGGGAGTTACTCTTGACCATCCAGCCAGAATGACAACACCAATTAATTATTATATATAACATAACATAATATAATATAATAGTATAGTATATAAATATTAGGCAAATAATCAAGCAATATCTCTGCGTCAGCTACTCTTGTCCTTATGGGTGATTTTATCTTCCCAGATATCAACTGGGAATGTCATACAGAGAATAAAATCAGGTCCAGGAAATTTCTGGAGCATGTTGAAGATAACTTCTTGGTGCAGGTAACCGATTAGGAAAGGTGCCCTCCTAGATTTGTTGTTTGTAAATAAGAGAGGGACTTGTGGGTGAAGTGGTGATTGATGATTGTCTTGGTCACAGTGACCATGAATTAGTTGAGTTTCAAAAGTTGGAGACAGAAGAAAAACTTCCAGTGAAACTTTGATGTTGGGTGTGGGTAGGGAAGATTAGGGGCTGCTGAAGGAGCTACTTGGTAAAGTCTCTTGGGAATCTGCTTTCCAAGGTCTTGGGGACTATTACGAACGCTGGTCACTCCTTAAGAGCCATCTCTTAAGAGCACAGGAGCAGGCAATTCAAAGTGTAGAAGTCAAGCAAGTGGAGCAGAAGAGCAGCTTGGCTGAGCAAGGATCTTCTAGAACTTAGGCAGAAAATGTATGGACAAGGACAGGTGACACAGGAGGACTACAGAGATTCTGTCCACCATGGTAGAGAGGAAGTTAGTGCAGCCAAAGCTTGATTAGAGTTCAGGCTGGCCAGTGCTGTGCAAGACAGTGAAAAGGACTTTTAAAAATATGTTAATAGCAAAAGGGGAATCAGAAATAGCATTGGGCCATTGCTTGATGAGATCAGTCACCTCACAAATAGGCATGTAGACAGAGCAGAGACATTTAATGCCTTCTTCACCTCTGTCTTCGAAAACAATGATGGGCCCTGGGAAGCCCAGAGCTCTGTTGGAAGACCATGACTGGGAGGATGATAAAATCCCAGTCGACCCTGAACTTGTTTGAGTCTTGCTGCTCCAGGTGAATGCACAGGGGCCTGATGGGATTCATCCCAGGATACTGAAAGATCTAGCAGATGTCATTGTGGGACATCATTTCTCAATGGTCTTGGGACACTGGAGAAGTCCTACTAAACTGAAAGATGGCAAATGTTGTCCCAGTTTTCAAGAAGGGTAAGAAGGAAGACCCTGGTAATTGCAGACCTATCAACCTCACTTCAGTGCCTGGTAAAATTATGGAGAAGGTTGTTTTGAGGGTTGCCAAAAAACACACCAGTGACAAGACAGTCACTGGTTACAGCCAGCATGAGTTCATGAGGGGAAAGTCCTGCTTAACCAACTTAAATTCCCTTTATGACCAGGTCACTGACAGCTGACCACAGGAAGGCAGCAGATGTGGTGGTTTTGAATTTTAGTGAAGTTTTTGGTATGTCTCTCACTAAATCTTTCTGGATAAACTGTCCAGCACACAGCTAGACAAGCTATACAATGGCTCAAAGGGTTATGACATCAGACTGGCAGTCAGTCACCAGTGGGGTTCCCTAGGACTCAACTTTACAGCCAGTGCTTTTCAATGTTTTTATAAATGATCCAGACTCAGGAATCAGATATACATTGTTTGACAACAATTCTAAACTGGGAAGAGCTGTGGACTCCCTTGAGGGTACAGTGGCCTTACAGAGAGATCTGGATAGACCAGAGAACTGGGCAATCACCAACTGTATGAAATTTTACAAGAGCAAGAGATTTATTCTTCATGTGGGACAAGGCCATGCTGGTTACACGTGCAAACTGGGCGACAAGAGGCTGAAGAGCAGCCCTGCAGAAAGGGATCTGGGGTTTTTGGTTGATGGCAAGTTCAATACGAGTCACCAGTGTGCCCTGGAAGCCAAAAGGGTCACCTGTGTCCTGGGTGCCCAGCACACCCAGTGATCAAGGGAGGTGATTGTCCCACCTGCAAAGGTGCAGCCCCACCTTGAGTCCTGTGCAGTTTTGGGTGCCTCAATATAAGAAGGACATCAAACTATTAGACCAGCAGTGGGACAGGAAAGGGAGTGAAACTGCTCCAGAGGAAGTTCAGGTTGACATTAGGAAATGGTTCTTTACTGAGAAGTGGTCGGTCACTGGAATGGGTTCCCCAGGGAGCACCATGCCCGAGGCAGTTCAAGGAGCATATGGATGACACTTTTAGTCATATGGTTTAGTTTTAGGTAGTTCTGCAAGGAGCAGGGGGTTGGATTTGATCCTTATGGGCCTCTTCCATTTTGTCATGTTCTGTGATTCTATTTCAAGTATACAAACATTGAAATTACACTTTTTGGTTTTATGATCATAAATTCTTTTTCATGATCTAGAAATGTTTCATATACTTGCTAGTTTTAGGAATTATGTGCTTGTAGCCTCCCTCCACTCTTTATTTTTAAAAATTTTAAGTTTTTGAAAGAAACAAAAGAAGAAGAAAATCGTGATTTTCCCTATGATAGACTGATGGAATGAAACCATCCATTTATTCATGCAAATCACATTCAGGAACAGATTATATCTCAGTTTTATGTACTAGCTGACATATGCACATAAAAAGCAAACAGATTAGGCACAATCCTTTTTATTGCATCATTCATCTCAACAAACTTATTTGTATTAGTCATAGGAATAAATTAGATGTGCAAACTGTAACCTGACTTCTAATGAAAAAAAAAAACCCTGATATCTTCTCCTTTTACTTCTGATAGGAAATAGTCCTGGTTGTGTTTTTCGGTGCTGAATATTTGGTCCGGCTGTGGTCTGCAGGCTGCAGGAGTAAATATGTTGGCTTCCAGGGAAGAATCCGGTTTGCCAGAAAGCCAATATCGATCATCGGTAAGATTTGAACTCTTTCCCCCCTCCTTCTTTGTTTTAAAGTAAAGGTGTCAGCTACTGCAGAGAGCTTATTGCAGCTGAACTGTGTCTGTTCCTCTAGCATTTATCTGCTTTGTGAACCTATGCAATTATTTCTCCTTTGGGATTGCTAGAACTGAACATTTAAAATGTGGCTGTGAGACACAGGCAGACATCAGCCTTAGAAACACAGAACTGTAAAGTGAAGAAACGACCAAATCTATTTGTTTAATTGGAGAAAATTGATAAGATTTTGGACACAAAGTCCTTCTTTAGGTCTCCTGTAGAAAGCAAACACAAAGGTGAGTGTAAATTGAGAAAAACGTGGAAATGGGAAAAGTAGAACTCAGGAAAAATTTTATTGGGTAGTAGTAAAGTTAAACAATTTTAGATGGTTTGAGGGACTATTGTAAGTAGCATTTCTGGAGCAGGAGGGAGTTTAGGAGAGGTAACTAATAGAACCTGTGGAACAGTGAGGGATTAATAAAAAGTGATGGTGTTTGTACAAAATTATAATAGACCATAAAATCATGGAGTCCATTATACAGAGCTGCAAATTTTACTTTTGTCAAACATTTAAAACTCATTGAGTTTTAAATAGAGCAAAGTGACAGAGGTGTAAAAGGGGAGAGAATGAGCTGATTTTTCCTTAACCATCTGTGACACTATGGAACAGTGGAAAAACTCAGGAAACAAAATATTCTATTATATATCTAGATGTAAGTAGTGAATAATGTGGTGAGCTGCTGTACTCAGTTTTGGGTTATTGAGGAACAAGAATCATCCTGACTCATCCTATAATTTTCAAATCAACACGAATAAAGTACAAACACTAGAAAAAGAAATTAAAGGTTAGAACAGAATGTAAAAATAAGGTATTCATTTTACTTCTGCATTAATACAAAAGTCTGTCTTTTAAAATCAGAAAAATTCCACTGAAATTTCTTTGGCAGCAGGGAGATTTTTTCTGTGGGTTTCTGTTCACACTAAAATTTGAATTCATTCTTAGAAAGTTCAATTTTGAATTTCTTTAATTTCTTCCATTATCTTTCCTCCTTTCCTCCCCTCTCTAATTGTAAATAAAAATTACTTTGGTGCTGATTACTTGAAAGAGTTTTAGTAGTCAAGCCTAATTATTGCTTTCTTTTATAAACTTTTAAAATATTATTGAATTCTATGCTGCTTAAAATAGTATGTTAATGTGCAACTTCTATAACTGGGAAAGGAAAATGTTAAGATAGGACACATTATTTCTTGAATGGTATTTTAACATTTTAGGTGCAATGGAAAATGATGCAATTTCCCTACCTCGTAAATCTTTTTTTTTTTTTTTTAATTTCTTAGGTAGATTTTCTAAAATTAGCCTAATTTTTCTCCTTTTTGCAGACAGATTGTAGATGATTACATGTATGCGAGAAAAGACAATTCTATCATTAAATAACCTGTCAGGAGACATATATTGAATTAATTCCCAGAATACCAAGAATCCTTAGAAAAATCCCTTTTTCTCTTCATGCTTCTTCATTCCCCAGTTCACAGAATGAGCATGTTTAGTGTGTGCTGCTATGTCCCATGGCAGCAGCAGCAATAGTGATTCCTTTCTGAAATACTAATTTAACACTTCCATTACTTACTATTTCAGTAGGTTGGGCTGGGAGCTAAATGCTTCTGAGAATCCCAACCTAATTAGGGTTTTATGAAAAGCAGGTACCAAGCACAGGCAAAATCAAGAGAATGAATGCCCTTTCACAACCTTTTATCCTTTTGTTGTTGTTGCAGAAAATATCACAAAAGAGCCAATTTATGAATTAGCTTTTGTTTCTCCTGGTTTTGACAGGATGCAGTTTGAAAGATGTAAGGGGGACAAAAGTTACTGGTGTAAAAACTCAAGCCTGCATAGTGTGTCCATCTTATACTGTCCTTAAGAAAAGCACAGTAGAACTTTATTTATAAGCACCTTTAATTTGTTTATGTATACAGCTCTGAAAAAGCAGCAGCACCTGGTATGTAAAGCTCCAGTTATCTTTATAATTCATGAAATGCTGATAGAACACAAAAATTCAGCAAAAAAAAGTGATATAAAATCAAACTCAAATTTGTGCATATAGTCTGTGTATTTTAAGTCCTTGTGGACATCTTATTATCTTCAGACTACTAAGAACACTCCTTTAAGCTGAGGACTGTTTACATTCTGTAATATAGCACAGCAATAAAATATGAAATAAAATACAAATAGTATTACTGTTTTAAATTTAAAAACGATTAATTACTTCTAATGAAAAAGCTGAGAATTGCACATTAGAAAGTAAACTTCTGGAAACATTAGAAACACATCAGAAATTTGCTCAAATAGAAAGCAGTGCTCAGGTGAGCTACAATGTAGGTGTTATGTGCTACGCTGCAGTTTATGTATAACTAAGTAATATTGGCAAACTGATCTTTTATATTAAAATGATAGCTGTTTGGAATTTTTCAAGGATTCAGAACATCAGCAAGCCGCAGTGGACTAGCAGTGGATGAGATTTTTAAAGTACTACACATGCTAAATTGCAGGGAATGTGATCTCTGTAGGTCTGTCGTCTGCACGTGTGGTGCATGTATTGTATAGAATATGCCATGTCCTTTTTTTCTCTCTACACCTCCTGTGTATGTACAGACATGCTTGCAGACACATAAGTAGGTAGAAACTTCAAGAAGAATATCTGCATATTGCTGTTTATAAATTACAGGTATTCAGATTTTTTAAATTACCGAACTTCCTTGACACTTCAGTTTTTAAGAACTGCCATAAATACTGGTGTGATGCTATTCTAAATACTAGTGCTTGTTAGAGTTGAAAAAGTTATTTAAACAAATGTTGGCTCTTTATCCTGATGTTTTCCATGTCAGTGTCTGCTTCAGCTTGAGTCTTGTGGAGACATTTCATGCAGGATGTTTAAGCTGTTCCTGAGAAAGGCAGTTCTGACCTTTTCTTATGGAGAAGCACTAACACTTCCAAACTTTGAAGCAGACACTTGAAATTTAATGACAAAATAGCTTTTTGTTTATCACTGAAAATCCAAACTGACTAACACGCCCCTGAAAATTTGGTAGCTTGTTTATGCTTCAAATGCCCTGCTAGAGAATGCTCTTATATTTCTCAGAGACTGAAACTGCAGTGAGCCTGCACAATTCAAATTTCAGGTTTCTTGGAGCAGTAATGCTGGGGCTGGAAGTGGAAAATCTGTTGATTTTGGTTTTACAGTGTTCTTCCTGGATCTGCCCAGGGCACATGGAAAATACCAGGCTCGAATGCTGAGGTAGAAGGAATGAGCTGGGACATACAGACTCAGTAAAATGACAGGAGGGTGGATGAGGATGTAAAGGTTTGGGAGAAGAGTGTTTAGGGAGACTGAAAAACCATCAGGAGGTTGAAGGAAAAACAGCAGGGGCTGAAAATACATGGGATTGAAAGGTGGCAGTGAAAGAGCTGGACTGTAAAATAGGACTATTTGGACCTGTAAACTGAGATTACTGAGAGAAGCCTAAAGATTGGAAACTAAAGTAAGAACTAGGAACAGAGAAGAAGAGGGGATAAAAGAACAGAAATATCTCTACCATGTAGAACACTTTCAGAAAAGTAGAAAGAACAAATAAAAAATCTATTTTACTCTCGCTACCTGATTGAAACTCATTTCCTGAGAGTCAGTCTTTTCCTCCTTCAATGCTGGTCATTGGATGGATATGGATATGTCTGATAATTTAGTAAGGACACGGGTGCATCATTTGATTAAGAGCAAAGATCTGTATTATGATGTGATAGGGAGAAAACCCACCCTAAATTCTGGTATTTACAAACATATGTTCACACATATACATAATAAAGAATAGCATGAAAAATTTGGAAAGTTAGACCTTCAAAAGTTAAGATTATCCCCAAATGGAAGCTCTTCCTGTAGCCTCATCCTTCCCTTTCTTTATTTTCATTTTCATAAATGTACAATTATGGTTGCACACTCTTTAAACTGACTGAGTGCTATCCCCTGGGGAGGAATCCATCTTTTACAGCAAAAGCCATATGATACTGGAAATTAATCCAAGTCAGGGAGTGAAGGATACTGTTGGTTGTAGAACCTCTGCAATATTTGTTGCAGCAACGACACGGTTGTGAACGCGGCAGGCGAATTTTTAAAGGGGAGGAAAAAACAAGTTAACCTTTCTGAAGGAAACTGCTGCTGCCTCTCAAGTTGGATTCTGTCCTGCATCTTGCCCAGGCATCGCACGGAAACTCTGTGGCAGTCAGTTAAATCAGTTTGCACAAGTGTGCCTCATTTTCTGGATGTCCAACTGAAGACTTTGAAGTCGGGTTACAGAGGTTCTGAGCTCTCACAGCTGCAAGTGAGGTCAGCCGGCGCTGGGTTTTTTGAAGTGCTATATAATGTTGAGTGCTCTGAAGAATAAAGTACTGCCTGTTTAAAGCTGGCAAGGGAAATTTACCAAAACTTTTCCTCTTTCTGGCTACATTTGCTACCCATTTATCTTTTATTTTCTGGTTAGAATTTGAAAGTGAAGCATTGAGATGCTCTAAAGAGGTTTACCACAGAAATGCCTGTGAGGAAATAAGAAAAATATCTTCTCAAAATAATGTTAGAGTAAGGTTCGATAATTAAAAGAAACAGACATGGTCACTGAACTAGGATAAGAGAAAATAAAGGATGCTGGCACTGCGAACACAATCCATCATTTGCATTGTATAGTGCTGGAACTGTGTAAACTGTGGAGTTGTGGAAACAAAAAATAAGGATCTCTGGAAACAATTATTTTTTCATACAAATAAAGACTGTGTCACAAAGTAAACCAACAACTCTGTTTGTTTTTTTTTTTTTTTTAGCAAACCTTTGTTCTGACAGTTCCCTAAACTTTGAAAGCTTGGCTTTATAGCTTTGATACAATTTTTAAACCAAGTGTATATGTGTATGTACGCATGATACTTGACTTTATGCATTTCATTACTGAGTGAAGCAAAGCCTTACTTTTCCTCGTAAATCCAAAACCGTGAGCTAAAATGTGGATTCATTTCTAGGGTGTACATATGCCTTTGCATTTGTTGTTTTTGTGGCAAGCTGCTGTTTTTTGAAATTGCCGTTATTAAATTCATGGAAGAAACTGTAGTCATTGGGTTTTTGATGTGAAACTATTACATTAACTTATTGCCCACCAAATTTCAGGTAACAATTTCTTTTTTTTTAAAGTTCTTTCCTCAGTCTGTATTTTTTATGTGTTTCACTGCTGAGATCTAGAAACTAATACATTCTTCCTTTTTTTTTTTGACAGATCTCATTGTGGTAGTAGCCTCAATTATTGTTCTGAGCATAGGATCTAATGGACAGGTGTTTGCTACCTCTGCAATAAGGTATGTTCTTCTAGTGACTGTAGCTCTTCAGTACCATAGATGTTACCATCAGATGTATATCTAATTTCCTGATTTCTGAATTAGATGTATTTCTGATTTTCCTAATGTAGGAAAAGTTATTCTGTTGAAACACTGGGCAGTGGAAGACTGTATGCTTTTGTGCTTGATCACTGCTGGGGAACAAGAGTACAGGAACAAGGCATATGAAAAATGGTGGGAATGCTGAAGCCAAATGGAAAAAAACTAAATGTTCTGTCCTATATAAAACATCAAACAGCTCTCCTTCTGAGACAAGAGAGTATTACAGAACATCAGTTTATTTAAGAAGTAATCCAGACAGCACTTAACTCGGTACTTTTTGAGTATGAGTAATTACTTTGTTTAAAGAGTAATTATGCTTTGGTGGATTTGTTTGGCACAAGTAACTCATACTGTACATGAACCAGAAACATTTGATGTCTACAGTGTTTGTTCAGCTTGCATCAAGCACTGCAAGCTTGTTTTGGGAGGAAAAGTGGATAAATAGAAGAAAAGAATGATAAGCTTCTAACTTAACTTGCAAGACATGTTGCATGTTCTGTTACAAGCCTCTGATTTCCAATGCAATCTGATCACTGGGAAGTGAGAATGTACAGTACTATCTAAACTCTCTAGCTGTGTAAACAAACACTGGAGGGAACTACAGGTATAAAGCATTTTTAAGGTGACTCTTACCATAGAACATTAATCCTTACATGATAATAAAGGCTCACACGAGCAACATGAATGTGATTTATCAGCTTGTATAGGAGAAGAGGAGGGCGAATGTGAAAATTCCAAAGATTTTGTTGAATTCAACTAGAAGTGTAGGAAGGACTCTTATGGAAAGGCCTGCTCTGTGTTGATGTGTGACCCAGTTGGGTTTGGGCTCAGTGCAGCCTTTCCCAGTGTTCAATCACACAGTCACTGTACTACATCTCAGAATGCTCTGACAGAGAAGCTTAACCCACATCTCTGCAGTGTTGTTATTGCTCCACTGAAAAACCATCAGGGTCAGACAAGTGTTAGTTCCATCAGATTTCCTCAGAACTGTGACGTGAGTGTTGTTGAGTTAGGAAGGAATGAATCTCACATACCTTGTCTTTGCTTTTGTTGCTTTTAAGGTGTACTGTTAAGGTCCTCTTTGTACCTCCCTCCAATCCCAGCAGTCCCAGAAAACATGGGTGCACACATGTTAGGTTGTTTACTCGTAGAATGAAGTTCCAGGCTCCAGATCCCCCAGGTGTGACAGGTTGATGTTTTGCTCACTGCAGCAACCAGTGAGACTGGAACCAAGCAGCAGAGCTTCCAGCAGAATCCTCCAGCCTCCTCACTGTTTCAAGGTCACCAAATTGATAAAAGAGGTCTTCATTCCAACAAATTCCTTTTTCCTTTTCAGTGGATATGTGTTGTGCATGTTTGGGGGCTATCTGGATTTTCTTGTTCACTGTCATGTTTTTTAAACCTCTGTTTGTAAAACTGCCAGCCTGTACCATGCATGTCAGCACTTGGCAGTAATATAGCTGTAACCAGCTTGGATTCAGAAGACAGGAAAATCAAGGTCTGATTGTGGCATCCAGAGATGTGTCTAATAATTGTACAGGGGTGTTACATGTAGATCTCTCCCCTCCTGAGAGGAGCAACCAGTGAGCAATTGCATTGTGTAAGTCTGTTGGTTCTCACATATTTGGTAGCCTTGTAATTCTTGAACTCGTGTTTTAATTAGCAGGTTTTAAGTGAATCTTTAAAAGTTTCCTGCTAATTAAAATTGTTATTCCAATGGCATATCAAATAAATAACAAACCATGGTGTTCATGTACCTGGTCACTGATACGTGATTGATAGTCAGGATTGTTGAGTGCTTTTGATGACAAGCTTTTGATCGTTTGACTGTCAGCTGTGAGAGCTCAGAACACCTGCTTTCTGAATAAAGGAAGAGTTGGTTATTGCAGAAGACAACCTGCCTTCCCAGAGTGAGTAACACCAGTGGCTGCAGGATGGCTGAGTTTCCAGCTTTCAGGTGTAGCCCAGAAAAATGCAGCCACAGTGGACTTGAAATAAGAAGTCTGAGGTAAAAAGCAAAACCTACATCCACAACAAAATTTTAAGGGTACATAAAAAGAGCCAAAAATACTTTTAGTGAAAAGTTTTCACATGGATGAATTCAGCATGTATCCTTTCCTGCTCTTCACTGGTTTGTTTCAGGGATAGGTCACTAAGGTGGATGACTGTAGGCAAACAAAGTTCATTGTCAAAAGTATGACTAAATAAAATATTTCCATGGAATAAAACTACACTGAGGAACCATATGGACAATTATTTTTCATTAGTTGAAAATATGGAGGTTATGATTCACTTATTGTCCTAAAAAGACATAGAACTGTATCTATTTCCAATTAGATCATTTCTATAACTCACATAAGAAGGACGTCAGTGATACCATGTTTGATTCATATTCTGCTTTTGGCAAATAGAGAAAAAAGTTTGCTCCTACTTGTGTTAGCAAACCTTGAAGCACTGGTTTTCATTGGAAAGGAGGCATTTGACAATCAGAATCATATAAAATAGGCAACTTTCCCCTGAGCTTCTTTGTTTTTCTGTTAAATAATTCTTTTCCTATTTATATATATCTGACTATAATGAAATCTAAACACAGAGTCTACTGAGATGCCTCAAATCTGAGATGCAACCCTGGTCAGGGGCGTTGCTATCACAGTTCTCTAATATGGCAGCACACTAGTGAATGTAGCCAGCTGTGGGTAGACAGAGCAGTATTTTTTATTTAATGCCCTGTTTTTCTTGCAGGGGCATCCGATTTCTCCAGATACTTCGCATGCTCCATGTGGATCGACAGGGAGGCACCTGGAGACTTTTGGGATCAGTTGTTTTCATACATCGTCAGGTACTTGACCTTTAAGGATCCCCAGCATTTTGTTTACTTTAGTAAATTCCTTTTGTGGACTTCAAATCATAGTCTGGTTTAAATGTACTTCTCTGTTGCAAGAATAAAAATACTTTAAAAGTCTATCATGTGTTTCTTTCTATTTTTAGAATGGGAAACTATTCTTAACTATTCAGGGCAGTGGATAACAGGGTTTAAGCATCAGTTTTGGGTTTTTTTTTTTTTGGAAATGAACTGCTGTACTCTTTGATGTTATCCTTCAGTATAATTTATTAAATGCAGTTATATGGGCTGCCTTTTATATTGCAAATATTGTCCACTGTCTTCATGGAAGACGTGTTCCTTGCTTGGTTGCTGCATGGAAAAAGAAATACTAGCGGAAAAGTAAATTATTTAAATAATTCTATTTTCTCTGCCTGAATAAGGAGTTTTCAAATGCATTCTATAAATAAAAATATGAACTATGTTATGATAATATGCAAGAAAAGTTGCTTTCTTAAGGGTGCAGTCTCAGAGGTAAATTTGGCTATAAGTAGTTATGTGTCTGTTGAAGCTTTGAAACAATTGTTCTGTCTAAAAGTCCATTAAGCAGGAAGAGCTTAGAAGTTTTTCTGGAGACTTTAAAAAAATTCTAGTTGTAGGCTTCATTTTGAGTCTTCACAGAATCTCTGTAGCCCACTCAGCTTTATCAGTATAACAGAAACTTACAGCATTAGCCTTTTAATTTTGCATATCATACCACACTGTGGAGGGCTAATACTCTGCTATTAATGTTCACATCAGACTTCTAAGGGTGGTGAACTTCTGCTTTATGGGTGTAGATTTGTTCCCCAGACACTGACTAATACTTACAGATTTCCACACAGACATTTTAAAATTTTCTATTTAGAAAACTTATTCTGAGACAGAGAATGGGAGGTGCTTAATCCAAGTGATTAATTTAATACTACAATTTAATTTTCTTCCCTTTATTCTCCCCCCCCCCAGTACTGTAGGAAATTTTTTGTCACGATGGCTGTGCAGCAGTGATGCACACCAAAGTGCTCCAGTATAAGGCCTCCTTTCATACTGTACAACAGGATGACTTTTAATGCTCCAAGTCTGTGTGGTCTCCATTTATTATGCTCACATTGCCTGGATATCTAGCTAGGGCAGAGCTGATATCCAAATACACTTTCTCAACATTTGCTTACAGAGGTGTTTGAGAAATTTTTTTCCTGTGGGTGTTCAGAGTTTTAGTCAAGAATCAGGAAATACTATCTCCAAAATACGACACTTAAATCTTAAATGTCACGAGCATAAATAAGTTCAATGATTTAAAAGGAAAAAAAAAAACCACCTTGGAGAAGTGCATTTATGAGTAAACGCACCTGAAATTCTGCTACCCCAAAGAAGTGATTATGATGATAAATAAAACTCTACAGATCTGTAGTACTTGTCCAAGCAGATCACCCACTAACACATTAATAAAAAAAATATCAAACACACAGTTCTGTATTGACATTGGACAAGTGTAGCTGAAACTCTAACACGGTAACCTTTATTCCTATCCAGTCCCTGAAAGAAATTTTTGTTTAAAAAAAAAAAAAAACAACAAAAAAACACCAAACCAAAACAAAAACACCTCAGCTGCTTTTTCTTCTCTGGCAGAGAACAAAGTCCTCATCTATTTTTTGAGTTTGATACTCTTTGAGAAAAAATGGGGCCCATAACCATTAAACAATGTGAGAAAATAAATCCACATTTTTGTGACCTGTGAAAATAGCAAGCATTTGTACCTCTGTGGGCCCAGAGGAGCGCAGTGAAGTTGTCACCAATGATTTCCATGTGTTTTGGAATTTTACATATAGCTTTATTAGCTCACTCAGGCCCAGTTTGGCTCTTCTATTTTCAGCAGGTTGAGCTTATACAAGGATTTCTCGCCAAAAGCAACAAAACATGATTCAATATGGTATGTGGTGATGGAAAGACATGGAGAAATCAGGCAGCTTACTGAAAAACTGAGTTAGCCAATCTAGCTTCAGCTTTTAAGCCTCTCACTTATTTTTTCTCATCACTCACCTTGTTTTGTGAGATCTTCTACTGCTTTTAGGAGGGAGTTAGCAATGAGTTGAGATTTGGGATTTCCTTGTATTTTTCCCAAGTGTTGAACTTTGTATTGTGTTGTCCTTATCGTAACTGAAAATGTAGATCTATCTAAGTTTTCAAAAACTCTCTCAATATTCAGTTTTATTTTGTTATTTATTAAATGCAGTATGTATGAGATTGCTGTCATTGTTCTTATAATTAAATATAGGCATGTGTTAGTTTTTCTCCCTATACATATGTCACACAGAGTGATGACATTTAGAAAAAGTCTAAGGCAATTATACTTTCATCTGGCCTTTGCTTAAAAAGATTTCAGTCTCTAGATGAATAGTGCTGGAGCTGAGGGGCACCAGTGGTGAAATAAGCTGAGTAGTCCTGTTGATAATTCAGCCACTTTGAAAGGATCTCCTAAGTCTATGCATAGCACTTCTGAAAAGCATATTTTCCTCCCTGCTCCCCCAAAAGCCACTTAAAACAGAAATATTCTAATTATCATCCACTCTCTAATTCTGTCCTCTGGGACAACACTGAAAGCAAGCAGAGATGGACGCTCCTCAGTAACAGGTAAAATCTATTAACCTCTCAGATGTCAGCAACGTGCCAGGTGTAACTAAGAGGTTTTTGTTGATGTGGAAGGAAGTCACAAATCTACTAGACATGAAAGCAGAAGTGTTTTCTGTGTAAGCAGGCAACAGGAATTAGCCTCCATTTCTGCTGTGGTCTCCTGTGCATCACAGAACTTACAGTCTCAGGTGTTTTGCAGCTTCGTCTTGCACTGAAAAAACACTGTGAAGGCAAGTCAAAAAGTTGTGAAAAATTACAGAGATACAAACAGTCAGTTACGTACATTAACACAAGGAGCTTTTCAAAGCAGTGAAGTGGTATCTGCAGGCACACAGTGTACCATTATCATTAGATAAAGATGAGAAAATAAAGGTGACCCGCACAGAAATCTGAACTACCGAAACTCCGGGTTTTATTTCCTCTTTCAGCTGCCTTATTTAGCAAAAAGTTAAGGCTTGAATTAAAAGACTTGCCCATGGGCCAAACTAAATACTATCAAAATTCATTATTTAGGTCATTATTAAATGATTAGAGGAAAAACACCTATTTTTGCTTTGTGCCAAGATCACTTAAGACTTGTTGAACCTAGATTTTAATTAATGCTTGGGAGAAGGAAAAATATGTACAGTTCCTGCTGCTGAATGCAGTTACTAGATACCAGGGATACCTTTCCCCAGAAAGCTTTTTTAAGGAAATTAAAAGAAAAAAATAAAAAAGAAAATCTGAAGGAAGTTTGATGATAAAACTGAACCTTCTGTCACAAACAGTTAAAGAAACATGGGTAGAGTATTGCAGGAAATCTGTGAAAACCTGCCATACTTTAGAACTAGAGGCAATCCTTCTCAGACAGGTTTTAATTTTAACTTTATCTTATGGAAGTATTTTAATTTCCTTGTTGGTTTGGGTGCAAGGAAAGAGAAATGGAAAGAGAAACCTTAGGGAAGATGACAGTGAAGATGTAGTGCAACGTTTAATAAAGAAAAGATGGCTAAATATGTGCAAAGAAAATATAAGAATAATGCATGTAAACTTCAAGGAATTAAAATAAGTTTTTTTCCCCTCATAGCTAGGTATTGGATTTTCCTGAGGGGTATGTGAATATCTCATTTGAATACAACATAGCCCTGCTTTTTAAAAGCTTTACAGGTTTTTGCATCTGGGACACCACACATTTTGGCTTGTTTAAATGTGCAAGCACACTTTTCCTGAAGTCTGTAACAATCCTGCACCGGAGTCACATCAGCTGTGATACAACCTTCCTGTCCAAAAATCTGTAGAGAAAATTGTATATTCACAAGAACTGCATCATGCCCTAACAAAAGTCTCTTCTAATAAACTGCCCCGGCCTTGCTTTTCAGCACTGAAGTAGAGGTTACACCTGCCCAACGTATTTTATCTTCAGTTGTTTTATCTCAACATGAAAGTGTTTAATCTTAAGCAATGTAAACATCAGATACACAAGCTCATTGCTTAGATATGCCCATAATCACATGACATGGTTGTTATTTCTTCACTGTTATTTCCGTGTACTGTTCAGAAACTGCATTTCTGAAGCTGTTTTGATATTTTAAAAATGTTTAGAGATTTAGTGTTTTAAGTGGACAGTTAAGTGGAATGATTTCCATTCACAAGGCATAATTAGGAGAGATGTCCCACTCTACATTTAGCTGCCCAAATGATCTCATATTAATGATAGCTTTTTGAACTCTTTAACCTGGTATGAATAGAAAACAAGTTACTGCACTACCTGTTTCACTGGAGGCAAATTTTATACCTGAAATATAACAGATTAATTTTTCTACTGTGATCCAAAAGACCCCCAGATAATTTACAGTGTTTTACAATGTTTTACAATGATAGAATATGCATGATGCAAACCTGATGTGCTTGTTTGCTTTCTCTTTTAATAGGAGCTCATAACCACGTTGTACATTGGATTCTTGGGGTTAATTTTTTCATCCTATTTTGTTTATCTTGCTGAGAAGGATGCAGTTGATGAAGATGGAAAGACAGGTTTCTCCAGCTATGCTGATGCCCTTTGGTGGGGTGTGGTAAGTCCTTAGCAGTCAAATCTGTATGCAAACAGTGCATAAGGCTTCCTGTTGAAGTTGTGATATTCTTTAAAAAAATCTGGTCTTTCTTTCTTTGCAGAATGTATTTCTGTAGGGAGGCTCAACAGTCTTTTAAGAAGGTACAAGAAAGAATGTCACACATACAATTCAATTATTTGGGTATTAAATTTTGTTGTGGAAGCAGGTCAGCAAGTCATGAATGTTTACAGATATAAAACGTCCACATCTCATAAGAGTGTAAATTCCCTCCAAAACCTATACCACTTCTTTTAAACTCTACTTAGTTATCTCCAAAAGGTGCATAACTTTAAAACTATATTCTGTATGTGGAAGTGGGGTAATGACTTTATTTTTTTGAGTAGTAATGCAGACTTTTATGCAGGTAAGAGGTTCCTGTTGGCTTTTTTTTAAAATGAATCTGCGATTCTCTGTAAAGGTAAATAGATCCATTGAAAGCAGCTGGCAAAGCTTCATGGATTCATCAAATCCTTTGGATAACAGTCATCAGTCAGGTGCATTTTGTGAAAATCTTTGGTGAAATAAAGGAAGAAAATACCCTTAAAGCAGAACTAGGCTTTTGAGAGCATTGTGGTAATTATCATGTGGATGCCAAGAATCAGTTGAAAAAGGAATAGAGAGCTGTGAAACAGAATAAGAGGCCAGATTTTTTCTAGACTCCCTTCATATGGCTGTTCTCATCATATTTCTCATTGTGACTTAAGCTTTCCTTCTCTACTAGCTTTTGCATAAACTATCCCTTCTCTTGTGGGTCCTTTTCCCCACTAGAGAACCTCACAAAATTTCTGAGTTGGCTGTCTCATTGTAACAAACCCAAAGAGATCCATCACATCAGTGTTAGTAACAGAGAAAAATGAGAGGACCAGAACAGATGCAGAGCCCCCAAATTCCAGAGAAAAAAGGATATATTTCAAGACTATATACTGGATTTGTTCTTAGATAATAGACTTGGAAAAATGCCAGTTATTGGGCCATAAACCAATTTTTTCTCCACATCCAAATAAACTGGTAAGTCTGTCAAGGCAGACAAAATGTTCCTAATAGATATATGTTTCTAATCTTTAACTTAGATGCTGCATAAGCCTCTACTTCAATGAAGTATACAGAAATGCAGACTATATTACATGTAGCCTGAGTTACCACTTTTTAAGTGGTTCTGTATAAAAATATTTTAAACATTAAATTCCTGTCACTGGGTTGTCAAATATTCATTTCATTTGCAGAGTATCACCTTTGGCTGTGCAAAAAAATAGTACAAACTAAGAAGAATCTAGTAAAAAAGAAAAATCCACTAAATGGCCAGATAGACCTGATTATCTAAGGTGCTGGGAAGAAATGAAACCACGAATTAGCCCATGCAACGATCACTTGTAAAAGTCCTCAATGGAAATATGATAAAATTTTCAGAATATAAAATCTCATGGTTATAGATGTGAGACCACCTCTGGCTAGTGCAGGAAAATAATAAATGTATCAGAAGCACAGATTGTGCCGTAATTGAGGAAAAAAACAATTAGGGTATAATTGAAAGATACCCCATGTCTGCTTTAAGGAAACAAACCAGTACACAGGTTCACTTATTCTTCTATTATTTGAGCAGTTCAGCTCCAACACCAGCGTTCCAATGACTGAATGCAGTGGAACACAGCTCCTGTTCTGGCTTTATGAATGGTCTGTGAGGTACATCTGATTAAAAGTGGGGCTTCTTGGGGGAAGTTCAGCAGCATCAGGGACTCCCATAAAAGTTTGTGCTAGTTCAGATAAACCCATGAAAAATAGCTCATAAATTTTTCTAGTAAAGTGAAGTTCCAAGTAAGTTTGTAGTATCTTTGAATTAGAATGACACCATTGAAAGAAAGGGAAAGCATATAGTTTATTAATAAGGAGGTCTAAATTTAATATGTAAACATTGAAGGATAGTGACTCATGTTGGCTCTGCACAGTGTCTTTGGTGTTTCATAAAGTAATTCCTAGGCCTGTAAGTGCAAAAGGCCAGAAATGCCCAAAATCAGACCTGATCTGGGGGGGGGGAAGTTGGACAAAGAACTTACCAAACTGAGAGAAACAAGGTACAGTGGAAAACAAAAGAGGATTTCCAGCAATGAGTTGGGAACTAGCCCTCACTTTTAGCATCCAATTCTGTCCACATATATTCATACATAGGTTATTCCAGTGTACTTTTTTCTACCTTTCTACCTTCCTTTCCTTTTTTTTTTCTTTTTAAGCTCTAGTTATCCAGAGCTTGGTTTATGAGTTGCATTGAATACTTAGCTGTGGATTACAAAATACTTTTAAATGCTAGAAACTACAGCACTGATTTGATTAAAGAGTAAAAAAAAATAACATTAAAAAAGCCAGGATGTGTTTATACAAGGGTATTTTGGACTTCAGGAATATAAAAGGAATTCAGTTATGAAGACTAACAGATAAGTTTAAAATGCACTTTATTACCTTGCTGAGATAGATGACTATGTTTCAAAGTGTATGTAAAGGCCGTGCAAAGTGTTCAATGGGTTTTGTTGTTGTTTTCCAAAACTTCACTTGTTTTGTGTTAACAGCAAGATAAAATCAGCTTCTCTTTCTCTAGCTGTGTGAGGCACATGAAGAACACTGTTTAAATTGTTTAAGCTTTTCAGGCATCTAGGCCTCCTCAGCATTGAGTGAGTCACGGTGCAGGTGCAGTTCACAGCTGGGAACAGTGACAAAGGACAAAGTGAATCAGTTTCTTTTTCTTTTCAAATCTTCTGTAACACAGAAACACAGATGTGGAGTTACTAGGGAGTGAAATTTGATTTCACTTTTGCCTTTCAAAACTAAACCAGAGGAAAAAAAAAAATCTCAGTAGCAAGTATTTGAAAGTGTCTGACAAAAACCACAGAGTGTATTATGGGGAATATTTTGCTTTGAGTAGAAAGTGCAAGCTTGCTGAACTTGATACAAATGACCTGAAAGGTTTAAATGTGAAGAAAAGAAAAAATAAGGAATGAAGGAGAGTTGGAATTAGATGCTAACTACATTCACCTGCTTCAGTTAAATGCAAAGTCGTTTCACCCAGATTTGGCAGGCAAACAGGTTAAACTGCAATAAAATATCAAAGACTTGTATTTTACATGAAGCTACTTTCAGAAGTTTTAGCATGTACAACACATGCAACAGCATTTCTAACAGCATGGTCGGGCTGCCAGAATTGCAACCCATGTCACAGCAGTTTTCCTGCCCTTTCTGGGTACTTTTTCTTGGGGAAAGAAGAAGGGCACGTAGGAGGCTTCTCTTCTGTTGGCCCTTCCACACTTGTCTCTTGCTGCTGGTAACACTTACCGGGGTTTTGCTGCAAACTCAACTGTTCTGTACCATTGAATTTGCATTAAATAGTTTCTCCAGTAAATTGGTGTTAACTGGCAGAGGTACTTAGGATCAGTTGCTCAGAATTTCCAGTAGTAAATTTTCGTGCCAGAGGTAGCAGTTTGAACCCCTTTATATTTAGTATGTTTTTTGAGGTGTGCAGTTCTGACTCTTCACACTTCAGGACACCTGCCTGTCTTAAAGCATCTGGGTAACTCTGTTGACTTCTACTGAATTTAAGTTTTTCCCTTTTTGAAGTGTACAGATATGTTTTCAGAGCCTGTGTCAGAGCATGTGCACACCAGCCGGAATGTGCCACCATAAATCTGTGTTATGAAGGAGGTGTCATTTTCCAAAAACCACAGTCAATATTCTCTTTTCAGAGATACTAATAACATTTGGATGTGCAAGTAGAAAAAAAATAATCTGTTGTGATTAAGAAATCCAGAGAATTACATTATTTCCATACTCTATGTACTAATTAGATTACCAAGAAGGCATCCTCTTAAGGTAGCCAGGGAAAAACTTTCTGAGACATGTTCAGGCACCTGCAGGAATCTGCCAGCCAAATGCTTGCTGTAGAGATGGAAAATTCATCTTTTCTGTGGTTACAGCTTTCATGCTGTCTTCCATAGTAACACTAAGGCAGCTCAACATTACTGCAGTTTGTTTTTGAGCCCTGAGTGCTGGAGAAGTCAGGAAAAAAAAAAAGAAAAAAAAGCCCAAACCAAACAAACCACCCACAAAAAAACCAAGAAGCCTTTCATAAGAAAAAAAAAAAGAGAGGAAAAGGAAGGAAAAATCACAGACTTTAAGGGGTCATCTGGGTGCACTGAGGAGCTGAAGTGCTGTTAAAGAAACACTGCTTTAACTTCCTTCACTGCCCACTAACACATACTGCATTTCAAAGTTGAATTTTGGGGGGTCTGGTTTAATTTTGGGGACTGGCAAACTCATCTGTTTGTACTGCTGGTAGTACACAGCACCTGAGTCACTTCACAAGCCACATTAAATCTGGACAAACACCTGGAAAGACAGAGTTCCTGCTGAGAGCAGCTTACAGTTCAAAATAACAATATTCATTCAAATATATAGATTCTACAAAGTGAACTTCATCAAGTGAGAAATTTATGATGAATAAACACAAGCCTAACTTTTTTTGAACTTGGAAAAATTAAGTTTGATAGTAGTTGGTCATTTTTTCCCTGCAAATATTTCTTCCAGCTCTCTGTAGAACTGCTCTGGGAGGAGGAGGAAATATATTCTTCTCATGCCTTTATTGCTTGATAGCTTCTTCTGAGAAGCCTATTTTTGCATAATATCTAAGCATTTGTCAGCAAATTTTTCCATAAAAGGCAGCCTCTTTTGTAGTCAGTGTAAATTTACATATTCTTTTAAGTCTGTGTTGGCTGTATTTCTGCTACCATTCAAGGCAAAGTGAAGGGAGGGGGACTAGGTTTAGGGCTGGGGCTCCCAAATAGAAGTGCATTTTTTCTATTTAAAGTTCTCCCCAGTGGTTAGCATTGGTGACAGAATTCTTCATTTCCTCACCAGAAGCCTTTCACTTCTCAGGGAGTACAAGCCACATTTCTCACACCATTTTATGGCAGCATCAGAGCCCTGAGTATGCTAAAAAGCCTTAATGGCTCTGGCCAGGCACACCAGGGGGTCACCCCAACACCCTCATGACTTATTAAGGCTCAGCCCTGGGGTTTTTTTTTGCTGCCTGAGCTGTGCTGGAGGAGAGCTGGTTCCCAGCTCAGCCACGGTCTGGTGAGCTGGATCTCAACCCAGTCTGGCTTCCATACTCAGCCTCAGACATCCCTCTCTACCTGGATATTGCTGTATGACTGGGATTCTTTGTTGGGCACAGTCAGTGTCTGAGTCTATCCTACCCTGAGCCTGTGCCCAGAGTGGTGAGGCCCCTGCCTGGCCATATGTTGGATTCCCTTGGCTTACCTGGGGATCCTCTTTGGGATCCACTGATAATCACCTTCCTCTGGGGAGCAGCTGGCCCTTGTTGATGGGCCCTTCTGATGGACCAGCCTTTACCTGAACTCTGATCCCTGCCCAGCACCAATTCTTTACTGTCCACTGGCCTCATAATGAATTCTCTTCCTTCCTGCTGGGGTTCATCAGGAACAGCCCAAAACCCCCATCATGCTCAGGTCCTCCTGCCTGCGTGATTTTCCAGGGGTGGCCTGCCACCCCCACAGTGATTTAGTCCCTCTTCAGCAAGTCCCTACAGATCCCAGAGCTGTGTAAGCACATGCCTTGCTTAGAGTGGAGGTGGGGAGGGGTGGTGTTAAGGCCCCGAAGGCACTAATTGGCCTAATGACCCTGGCCAGCATCACCAGTGGCCTCCAGCCACATCCAGGGGCTCTATTTAAACTCAGAATCTTCCTACAGGAGAGATGGTCTTTAGCTTTACTGCATCTGGGTCTGGCTGTGGAGTCCTTTAATCCTGACTTTCACCTAAGGACTAATATTTTGCCAATGCCTCATCCCTGTGGACCTGCATGCTGACCACTGTACCTGATCCTAATCCTGAACTGTGGATGGAATTCCTGGCTTAATGTCAGACCTGCCTTGTTGCTAAGATACTGTTTTATACTCCAGACTCTTGATTGGATCTGGCTGCACTTTCTGCTTCTGTTTTGCTTGGCTGCTGTGGGACCAGGTCCTTAGTGGAGAAGTCAGGATAGATAACGTAGCCTGCTGGGTACATTATCTTCCTTGACTTTGGGTTCCTTTGTCCCTTAGGGAGTACCTGGCCTCTGGTAAGCAATGAGCAGATCCAGGTATAAGCATCTTGTGGCTTAAACACAATTTTGAGTGGCAAAGTACTCTATTTGTTGGGGGAGGAATAAAAGGTAAGCACAGGGCTCAGCTGCATTCAGCTCTTGGTCTGCTGGCAGGTTGATTTTGGGAGTTAACACCTCCTGGAATGGTTGTGTGTTCCTCTTCTTGCCATGAAGATTCAGCTGGGATGGTGTAAATTCTGTCCCTTTTCATCCCTGTCAGCACAGGGCTTACCCTGCCTCTCCCAGTGTGTGCCTGACTGCAGAGATGGGCAAATACCCATGTTGGTTGGGTGCAAGTCTGTGCTTTCAGGGCTTTCTTCTGTCCGCTGTGGAACTACATTTTAAAAGCAAAGGCAGAAAAACTGCAAGCCTATGGTTTCAAGCCCACAGGGCCAATTCTTGCAGTTTTGGAATGGTGGAAGCAGCCAGCTACAAGCTGTGAGAACAGTCATCCTACACCCAGACTACTGTTGTCTCCAAAACAGTGGTCAGCTGTGAATGTCTGCTGAAGAATGTAAAACCAGGATAAATCAACAGTGATGTTTAGGGTACTCCCATATCCAAACACTGCTCATTCATGCCTGTCTCCTGATACTTCTCTAATTTACTTCTCTTTTTGTTCTTTTTTCCCTGCTTTTTGGAGAGAAAAGGTACTCTGTTGCACTGAAACAGGTGTTTGTTTCTGGCCTAGGTAACTGTCACGACAATTGGTTATGGAGACAAAGTTCCCCAGACGTGGATTGGGAAGACAATAGCTTCCTGTTTTTCAGTATTTGCTATCTCTTTCTTTGCTCTGCCAGCGGTAAGTAGAGTTTGAATCTGTCTGACTTGGGTGCACAATTAGGTAATTTTAAATTGGTGCCTGTGGTAGGAAATAACCGGGTTGGATGTTGCTTCAGAATGTGCACACACATATCCCCAGGTGTGTGTGTGTATGGAAACATGAAGGAAGGACATCGACCTGTTGGGGTCATCCAGAGGAGAGCCACTAAGATGCTCCAAGGGATGAAGCCCCTCTCCTATGAGGAAAGGCTGAGAGAATTGAGATTGTTCAGCCTGGAGAAGAGAAGGCTTTGGGGTGACCTAATTGTGGCCTTCAGTACCTGAAGGGAGCCCACAAGAAAGATGGAGAGAGACTATTTCCAAGGGCCTGGAGTGACAGGACAAGGGGGAATGGCTTCAAACTGTCAGAGAGTAAGTTTAGATTGGAATTAGGAAAAAATTCTTCCCTGTGAGGGTGGTGAGGCCCTGGCACAGGTTGCCCAGAGAAGCTGTGGGTGGAAGTGTTCAAGGTCAGGTTGGATGGGGCTCTGAGCAACCTGGTCTAGTGGAAGGTGTCCCTCTCCAGGGATTGGAACTGGATGACCTTTAAGGTCCCTTCAACCCAAGTGATTCTATGATTCTGTGAATGAAGCTGCTGTATCTTTACAGCAGTTTTTTTTAGATAAAGGTGGCCTAGAAAGGAGGTAAGAATAACTTCCACTACTTGAAGAATTGAAGCTATTCTGGTCTATGAGTTGTAGAGGGGTTTTTTATCAGCATGTTTGTGCCAGAGGTGACCACTTCTTTGTTTCTGTTTTGTGGTTATATGATATCAATTTGGTGTCCTGTGAAGACAGGAACAAAAAGAACACTTCTATGGCATCTGCCATCCTATGTGGTGCTATAGAGATCTTTGGGCTTTTTGGATCTTTGCATAAACAGGGTGAGAATAAAGACAACAGCCTCGAGGCAATTAGACAAGACAAGGTATTTCTTCAGTAACTATCAATTTTAACAGAAATGTTGAAATTATTAAGCATGTCTTTGCCTTGTTTGCTTAGTTTGACTGGAAAATCAAACTAGGTTCTGGCTTTAGTTGTGGGAATGTTTTTTTTGTTGGGTTTTCTTTCTTTTTTTTTTTTTGCTGTGGGGGAGCAGGTGGGTTTGGGGTTTTTTTAGGGAGGGTTGGGGACGAGTTTTTTGGGGGATTGGGAAAGAATTGGGAATTTGTTTTTTTGTGGTAAGGAATTAAAAATAAGTGCAAAGAATAGCTGAGAATCAGTCATGTGACATTGTCATTTGCTTCTCCCACCATTGTGTAGGGTTGCCTTTGGAATGTGTCTGCCTCTGTGAATGTCTGATTCCTGTAGCTTGATGTTCACACCAACAAACACATGCTGTTTATTGAAGTTACACAATGCCAGTATTGATCTGCTCAATTTCAGATTTATTTGTTGGAATAAATAAATTCTGTTACTGGGACATTTGAAAAATCATGATTTTTCTTTTTCTCAGAAAGTCTTTTATAAAATGTCTGTTTCTTTCATATGCTAAGTATTTGATTCAGGTATGTGAAGCCATATTGGAGTCTGACTAGGAATTTTGGATATATTTAGGGTATTTTGGGGTCTGGTTTTGCCCTGAAAGTACAGCAAAAGCAACGTCAGAAGCATTTCAACAGACAAATCCCAGCTGCAGCTTCCCTAATTCAGGTAAGGCCTCTAACAGTAAAATACGTAGGAGCTTATTGGAGAAGGAGTGTGGCCTAGTAGTTCAAATACTGAGAATCATGGTTCCTAGATTTTATTATAAATCTATAACTTGTGTTTAACCACTTAGTCATTTTGATCCACTTTAGTCACTAGAGAAAATTAGATAATTGCCTGTCCTCCATCTCTAGGTGTGCTAACCTGATATTCACAGGCATAAGGACCCTAACTGGACACAATGAGTATATGTGGTGAAATAGTTAAAAAAAAAAAAAATCTTCATTATAATAATTCATAACTTCCTTTTTATATTCTCTTAGGTCCTGTGCATCTGCGAAATCCTGAGGTGGTGAATGCATGTACAAACACATGTAAACACACACCTCTGTTTAGACAAATGCCCCAGGATAACAGTCTATATGATAATATAACAAATACAGTAGCATGGTGCACAAATATTGAATGTGGCACAGTGAAGGAAAAAGGAAGCAGCACTATCCAGTGATGCTTGTGGGGATTCACTTCTATGAGGGTTGTTTTTCAACTGTTCTTCAGTTGAAAAAGCCCACATGCTGTGGGCAGGGAGAGATCCCAGCTCCTAGGGAGAGTGCACCAAGGAGTGTCCTGAGGATCACCGTGTAATGCGTGGAGCTGTCCTGGTGCCAGCTACATTCACCACGGTTCTGTAGAGGGAGGAGTGTATTTTATTAGTTATGGTGTTGTGGTGTAGCACCATGACTGCAGTCAGACCCCTTTGCAGCTTGTTTACCTCGACTGAAAGTTTTGTTGTCAGTTCGATTTGCAGCAAAATCTGACTGACCTGCCCCAGCCGCGGCTGCTTATTCACTGCGATTGTTGGCTCTGGGTTTCCTTGCAGACCCTGTGGCGGTGCTACGCAGCAGAGAAATCCTGCACTTCCACAGCGACGTGGAGGATCTATGTTACACCCCCAGCGCAAAATCCCAAAAAGGCAGCAGCGCCATCTAGCCCTGGTCTGAGAAAACAGGTAACGGAGGATGGGCAGAGCTCGGCTCTGTGCTTGCTTTTAAATCTCAGTGGAATAACTTGCCGAAAGCCTCGTGAAGTGAGTGAAGAATCTGGACAGCTGAAACACGCTGATTGTTTTCCTCACGCCACAGCGCGATTGGCTGCGTTTTCCTTAAAAATATTTCTGAGGGAACTTTAAATTGCCTTGGTGGTCAGACAGGTGCCAATTCTCCATTGTTTTATCCCCTTTGAAGTCTCCTACGTTCTCAAAGGGTACTGTAAAGCAATGATGTGTTCGTTTTGCATAGTAGTTCATACAAGAAGAAAGGAGAAAGATAGTTTAAAAACTTATGTTCACATTCAACCTGTGGCTGACAGGTAGCTGTGCTTTCCTGAAGTACTCCGTGGTACTTTTATTTGGGGCCGAGTGTAGAAATTAGGGCAGATTGCTGAGTTTTGGGTGCAGTAAAGTGGAACAGTGTTTGCCCACACAGGTGGGGTTGCCCAAACACAGTCCTGCAGTTGCACTGCCAAGCTTGCCCAGCCTTCAGCACCCCGGCCAGAAAGGCAGAGGTCTGCAGCAGTTCGAGCTCAGAGGGTTTCTCAAATGGTGTTGGAGGCCTGGTTTTAGGCAGTGAAATACCACTGATGCCTGTTGCCCCGGGGAGGAGGGCAGTACAATTCCACATGGAGAAGGCTGTAAGGCCATGATGTGTGTGCACCTATGTGTTGTGTCACAGCAGTGGGACCTGCTCGGTATCGAGCAGAGTGTGACTTTGCCATGACTTTGCTTTGTCATAACTGGAGACAGACAAAACAGGAGGAAAGGGGTAAAGCTGAAGTAAGGCTCCTTTGTAAGTGGTGCTGAACAGCAAACAGTCAATGGTTTGAGAGCTGAAAAAAATAGATGGTATTTTCCCTCTGTTTTCTCTATTTAGAGGAATTTCCCGAACATATTAAACCTGAACCTCCCTGCGAACTGCTAACCCTAATTTAAGAACTAAACCATGGTTCTTTCATCTCTTACCCAAGGCTCATCTTCTCTTATGTTGATATAAGCCTTAATTTTTTTGGTTTTAAGTGCAAATTTTAGGACGTTTATTAGGCTTCCAAAATCAGGAGAACTGTATGGAGGCAGGAGGAGGAATTTATCTTCTCCTGATGTGCATAAGTTGGCCTTTTTGGTAAAAGGTGAATTTTTCTTCAGTTGAAAAAGCTGCACAGGGCCTAGTTCACAGTTCAAAGTCTATGGGTATGTTTAATTAAAGCTTTAGAAAGATGATACAGCCAAGCTGATGTGTACTCAAGTGGTTAGTATTTTGTATGCTTTGAGTTTTGGTACTTGAGACCTGATTTTTCAAAATGTGCTGGTCGTCTTCTCCTGAGAATCAATTCTTACCAGATTTTAGTTGATAATTCGGAATCAGATATTTTGAAAACAAAGGTTCTAACCCTTTCACTTAATTTCAATTTCATTATTTAAATAAAAAACATATGACCTCAAGTAAATTTACTGCATCCTGAGGGTCACGTGTGTACCTGTCTGTGTTTGATAATATCTTCTGATATAATTCCATTTCTACCACCACAGGCTAGAAGATACAAAAGAAAAGGGAAGCTAGGATGTGGTAATGGTTCTGCACCTGCAATAAACCCAGGAGAAAATGCCTTGTCTGTTCCACAGATCACTTATGATCACGTTGATGAACAAGAGCACAAAAAAGATGTATCTTTCTACATTGATGAACCTAGAGGTAATTTACATTGACTTTAGCTTTTTTTTTTTTTTTTAAAGAGATGATGTTAGAAAGAACTGACATACTGAAGGGAAAATTTCTCACCTAATCAGTAAAGCAAGATGCCTCCAACCAATGATTGCATAACAAAAGTAGGAAGACACAAATTTGAATACATATGGTGTGAATATCAAGATCTTTCTTTGTTTACCAAATTTAAATCAATTAAAATGTCAGCTATATTGTTAATTCTCCTTTTTTGAATTATTTCAGAAGTGTATGGAAAGCTTCCTCAAATCTGCCCCACCTTTAAACTTTATCTCGCAGAGAATCTGAGGGAAGGAAAAATAAACCAGGAAAAATATTTTTACTTTTTTTACAGCACCCTCTTAAACATTGTGCAAACAAATTGTTATAGGAACAGCTAAGCATTTTTATGCCTACATCAACCAATAGGTTTTTATAAATGGGATTTTTTTTTGCTTCATTTAAAATATTGTATGTTTCTATAAATGACAGGTGTATTTCAACCTGAAAACTGATTGAATTTCAGTGCTGAGTTAAGATAGTTGCTTTGTTTGTAAAATTCTTATTTTTAATTAAGTCTGTAATGGAAATGTGCATATGAAATGGTATTGTTTACTATAAAAGAAGATTTTCTGGAAAGCTAGTTTTTCCACTTCTGTGTTGATGTCCTTTGTCTGATGGGGTTGGGGATCTGTTCTGGATCTGCTAAAAGGGAGAATGTTTCCTTGTAGTCTGAGTTATGTTCCATACCTAGAGGCATACAAAGCCTTGCCAAGTTTACTGAGTTATCCAAAGATGCTGGCCCTAGTCTAGGGTATGTTATGTCATGATTTGAGTTAGGTTTTCATCTGTCTTTGATAAACCTGAACATCAACTCTGTATGAAATTGCTGCTCTTACATCACATTGAAGCTGACATAAAACTTCAACCTGGACAGAGTATGGTTGTAGTCTTGACATGAAGGTTTATTAAATAAAAAGTACTTCAAATATTTTTGCCCCCCAAAAGGGAACATGTGGTATCTTCTTGTACTGAACACAATCAAAAGTGGGAGTTTCACTGGGTTGCTCTGACTTTACAGAGTTGCTGGATTGTCAGTGCAACCTGTGTCATCCATGCTGGAGCAGTCAGATGTGGAATAGCAGGAATCTGAGAGCTGTGGCATATTGAGGCACATCTGTAAGGGACAGGGACATCTGGCTTTCACTGGGAGACCTTCAAGAGGTTTCATGCAATTGATAGCCATGAAGGGCCACTGCAGAAAGGAGAGCTTTCCTTCCACTGATGGAAGTTTCCATTCCCCCTCATGCTCTTCCTTGTGTTTTATGCTCTGCTGTAAATGTCTAACCTGTTACTTTGAGGTCAGGTTGCTTTTCAGCAATTGTGGTATTTTAATTGTTGCTTGGCACTGGTGGTGCTTTTATGGGTTCTGGGAAAGGGGGTGAAGGGTGTGATATTTATAAATGACATGTCTCAGAATACTGTGTGCATTTTCAGCATTTATTGAAGCAGTGCAGCTTCCCTTGCTGACCAAGTAATAGCAGATTTCACTGAGTGTATTTTGATATTTTGATATCAGTCAGTGCTGGACAGAAGGAGCAAAGTGTTGTGTAATTTGTAACAACACTGTAGACCATAAGATATTGAGGACTATGTTGGCTGCATTCAGGACTCTGGCAGTGCACGTTTATTCACTAAAGCTTTGTTCTCTGAATGGTCATAATTAATCTGAGCAAAGCTCTTCATCACAGGAAAGGGGGTAAAAAGACAAACCTGTATCTCTTTCTGCTTGGTAACAGGAAAATGAAAGAATTTTCCGCCCTTCTTCTGAAAATGTTTTCTTATTTTACTTTTAAGCTGGTCTAAGTTATTCTTGTTGTGAGAGACAGCCATGCATATTATTCCCTTACCAATTAAGTTTTATCTATTTTTTATTTTCTTTCACTTTTTGCCTTAGCCAGTGTCAGGGGTAAATCACACTTAATTTGATTTTTCTGATTCATTTCTTCTGTTGCAAAGCTTCCAGGAATGTAGTTGGCAAACTCAATTGCTCAATTGACTGAACATTCTTGACACCTCTAAAGTTTAAACCTGATTTCTCGCAGTGAAGTTCTCCTTGCCAGAATTAATAGGCTTCTATTCTTGGAAACTGGAAGTACTAGGCTTCAAGCCTGTAAATGGGGTTATTTTTTTTTCCTCTCAAAGCTGAAAGTAGAAAAGGCAGAGAAAATAATAATAATAATAAAGGTAATTGAAAAGAGCTATGATAGCTTCTATTTGAGTGTTGCTATAGTGGAATATTTTATCCATTGGTTGTGGGGGCTGGATATTTTACAGATGATGGTGAACTTAGATGTTGAATTAGATCACATTTACTATATCACTTTTCACTAAGAGGAACAGAGCTATTGCTTTAAAACAGCTCTTCTATTCTGCTGCTGGGGTCAGATGTGAGAGGGACTGTAGGAAGGCATGAAACAAATGCCTGTCAAGTGCAGACAACAGAAAATTCCTTGTTTCCTTGCAAAAATAGATTGAAATATAGTTAAAATATCCTTGATAAATGAGGAATTTACCTTAATCCAGGAACTGCATTATGTATGTGCACCTTTTTTCATGCAAATAAAATTTTTCTTATGAAATCTTGTTCATGTCTCCACGTCCACCCAGAATCCTCTTGGCTTGCTCAAAACTTGCTTAGGAGGCATATCTTTCCAAGCTGGGCAAAAATGCTTTCCTTTTTTGTACAAAAAAGAAGGTTTTAGAAAAGGGAAATCTTAGAAATAATGTTGATCATGTGTTTTATGAGATATTTGTGTATGTGGAATAAAAACCAGGTAGTGGATAGTGCATAATATAGAAATAAAATCTTTGCTCACCAAAACCAGTGGAACTTTGAAACAAATGCTTGATAACCTAACAGGAAAACAGCCCCTGATTTCTGCACCATGCATGGGGTTCTGGGTGTGACTGATTTAGGGTGCTCTGTAACACTAAGAACTTGACCATTCTTACAGACATGGAAAGGCCAAAATCTTCCACAATAATAGTTTCCTTGTTTGTAGTCAAACCTCTCACAATTTTTTTTTATAAAGAAATAAGGAACAACTCATGCAAACATAGATTTTTAGAAAAACAGTTCTAGAACATGTGATGTGGAATCAGAGAATTGTCATAGAATGGTTTGTGCTGGAAGGGAAGATCATCCAGTTCCAGTCCATCTGCCATGGGCAGGGACACCTTCCACTAGGCCAGGTTGCTCCAAAGTCCATCCAACCTGTCCTTGGACACTTCCAGTGATGGGGCATCCACAGCTTCTCTGGGCAACCTGTGCCAGGGCCTCCCCACCCTCACAACGAAGAATTTCTTCCTAATATCTAATCTGAATATCTCCTTTCTTGGTTTAAAACCTTTCCCCTTGTCCTATTGCTGTCTGCCATATAAAAAGTGTTTTTACAAGCCCCCTTTAAGTACTGGAAGGCCACAATGAGATCAGCCTGGAGCCTCCTCTTCTCCAGGCTGACCAACACCAACTCTCTCAGCCTGTCCTCACAGGAGAGGTGCTCCAGCCCTCAGAGTCTCTTTGAGATCTTCTAGTGCAGTTTGTTTTTTTTTTTCCCATGCATAACTTCTGCTTCTGCTGAGGAACTGTTTCATACCAGGGCGCCTGGTTTAATATTTTCATCCTCACTTGAGTTCATATCCATAGGGAGTCTTGAAATCGATCTTCACCTGTACTTTTGTCAACCACTGTGTATGTACTCCCCTGCAGCAGAGTCATTTATTAGGATGACAAGACATGTATGAGCACTCTGGCATCTTTAATGTTCCTGTAAGCTTTAAAAAAGGCACTTAAGTGAGTGGTAGGTCATAGAGACCAATCCATATAGAAGGAAAATAAAATTTTGGTGTAACTGAATTTTTTTATATGCATTTTGAGCTTCCTCTTCAAATAACAGCTATTCACTGCAATGTATGCTTCACAAAATGAACCAAATAGCTGTTTCATAATACTTTTTATTAGGGAGCAAAAAAAATTATAGAAATTTGAAAGTTTTTAGACCTTGAACATGAACCTCCTGGAACAACTCCAGCAGATGGAATATATTATTTGCTGTCAGCTATTGTAGGTTGTATACACAACTCATTATTGTTAAATTTGTCAAAGTCACAAGACTCTCACAGTGATAAATCTCTGCTGGGCTAAAAATAAATTTCCCTGTTTATCACTGTGCTTTTCTGTTTGCATTTTGGAGTTTCTTGTATGCTGGTGCATGTGCAGTTTAAAGCAAAACTTCACAGGAGTAACTTTTTACCAGGAAGGAGGAGAGAACTGTAATTTTCTATGACCCCCTTAACTTTGTAAGCCCTCTCATATAAAGTGTGTAATACTGTTAATGTTGATTTATTCTGTCTGTAATGCTAGTTTAGATGCTGACATTCCAGCATTCACCTATCTAGTAATACACTGGTTGTTCCTAGAAACTGATTGCATTTCCCCTTGGGAAAAAGGGCTGCTTTCCCTTAGTGGTGTAGATGGATTACAATCTGCAGTACATACAAAGAAACAAACATTTTAAATGAAGTGAATTCATAGATTCCAGTGCTGACAAGCTGAGGGAAAGGTGAGGAGAAACATATGGCTAAAATTAACAGAATAAAGCAAACACCAAAGTTTTTGAGGGTCTGCATGACTGTCAGTAAGTCAGAAAAGCATAAATATAGAGATATGCTCCAAATCAGCAGTAGAAGGTATCCAGATACCATGCTTCTGAAAAACATCATGCTCTTAGGAAGGTGAGTTTAGCAGATGCTGGTGGCTTTGCAGTGAGAATTTGTGTTCAGCATACAGCTGTTCAGCTTCTGCATTTGTCAGTCAGCTCAGTACTTGTACTAATGGTACTTTCCTGTAAGAGTTGTGGAAACACCTCTTTGCCTTTACCAGAAAGTTTTCAGTCTTTACTGTTTCAGCCCTGGCTGTTCTGAGTGAG